TAATTTCCTCCTCTAATAGAGGTATACAAGGTAAGTCTCAGACAATTTATATTTGAAAAGCAATGCTTTCTATTCTTAACGTTAAGTTAGAAAAGCAAACAACGTGAGAAAGAGAAAGCTCTAGCCAAAAAGTTGCTGCAACTTCTTAATTTCCCCTCTCCAGCTGTGACACCATTATTTTCTTTGTTGTGCTATCACCCTGTGAATCCTCTGACCTGGACAGAGGGTTCTTAAATTAGAGGGCAAATGTTAATCAGTGCAAGGATGTCCTGAGAGGGGGGAAAGTGTCTGTCACTTTCAGATCACACACCCTAAAGAAATGCCTAGGGAACTTTGGACTCATGGGAGAAAACAAATGAATATTTATTTGGAAAGAGAGTTGTTTCTCATTCTCTCTCTTCTTCCTCCAATCACTCCCAACAAACAACAACTTGAAAGCATCTCTATTTTACAATGGAAACAACACCAGGTGGGGAACACATCTCATGCATTAGAGCGTGTCCATTCATTTATTCATTCAAAAAATACTTGAGTTTCTTCTATGTGTTAAACTAAGTGAAAGGAGCTGGGGACACAGAAATGAATTTATAATGTCTTCCTGCATCCTCAGGAGCTGTAACAGAGGAAAGCACAAGGGAGTGGTACCTGATTGGGCCCAGGGATGGGGATGAGAGCTTTGCTGGAGTCTCAGAGGACAAGGGTGAGGGGGCGGCTGACCAAAGGCAAGGGGGCACACAGGTGCTGAGGAGGAAGGTGTGCAAAAGCACACACTTCTTCCTGAAAACCACATCCGGTGTACTTTGGCTGGAGGGAAGGGGTGTGAAGGTGCAGCGAGAGATGAAGCTGGCACGAGAGAAGGCAGAAGCCAAAATGTGCTGCACCAAATGGAAGGATTAAAGAGCATCAGCGGCCATCTATAAGGAGATCTCTGAAATGTAGCCAGTTTTGCATGGGTTATAAAGGGGAGTATTTCTCATAGACGTGGTGGACAGGTGACAAACGCTTTCCCCTTCCCAGCCCTGTGGTGGTTAACACATCCTCTTTAAATGCCTCCTCAGCTCAGTCAGAACATTCACAGGATAGATCTGCATTTTAGGAGGATCCTTCTGACAGCACCATGGAGAAAACTACTGGTTCAAAGTGATCATGAAACACAGAATCAGGGCCTGGGGAAAAGGGAGTAAGGGAATGGAGGGAAAAAGAGGCCCTAATGAGTCAATGAGACAAGTTTCACTTTTTCAATACTGCTCAGCCTTAAAGTTAAATTTAATAAAGACCAAACATGCGCCTTTGGCATTCTTAGCACCTACTCTAAGCATCAGACATATTTTACTCAAGTGTGAGTAGAAAAATGCATTTCACATGCATGGTTTTTATAGCGATACATTTTTAAAAAATGCATTCTAAAGTCAAGAATAATTTACATTTTTACCCATGCCTCCGTTAGATAGAAGGGATTATGTTTCTCTCAACTTCAGCAAATTAAGACGTTAGCATATATCTGAAGGCAGTATCTGTTTAAAACATACAGGAAGGTACCTCCTTCCATTAAAAAATGAGAAATTAACTAAACAGATAAAAACTGTGCCCCCAGTGCATATTAAAACATAACAATACAAGGTTTCTGAAACCCAGCCGTGCAGAAAAGGGCCCTGGGCAACACGTGAACAGAACTGGTTCAGAGAAAAGTGCTTCGCAGTCAAGCCTACCTTCCATTTACAGAATAGAAAAGAGCAGAAAGGTCGGCCTCCACAACTGCCAGGTCACTTTAATTAAAGTATTTGTACATAGTAACTTTTCCAGTGGGAAAGAAGTTACCTGCAGGACAGTCAAGGATACATTTTGGGACCGCTCTCAATGAAGAAAGCAGAAAAGTGCAGAGTAATCCTACAAATCCATGAACTGTAATGAAGAGTTCCTTGATTCCCTGCAGGATTCTGCAAATCCTTCATTGCAGGCCCTGCAGAGAAATTGTACTTTTCAGCTGTCTCTATTGAATGTGTAATGGAGTGATGATATTTTAATTCAAATCAAAAGATGAGTTATTAAAAACTTGGTCAAACCAACTATGACTGGTCATATTAATTAATTCCTTTATAGAGAGTACTCATTTACAGTTTTTTTTTAATACTAGCTAATTGTAATATAAAGAAAACAAGAAAAGTATGATTTCAACTTAAAGGAACCATACTAAAGACACACAGAAATGAAGCCTAAAGTGAAATGGAGTCTGCTCAGGAACCTGCTGACATCATGAACTTGAGGATCCTAGCGAAATCTCACTGCAAACAAGACCGTTCCTAGTTTCTGAGCATGTCCCACAGAACTCTTATGTTTTCAATGTTCATGTTCCATCCTTTTCAATTTTAAGGGTGAAAAGATAAAAAGACAAGGACATGGAAAAGCACAAAGCAAGGACAAATACGTGAAATGTGATATAGAAGATGAAGTACTGGACTGGGATTTAGGAAAACCAGGCACTATTCCTAACTCAGTCCCTCTGGGACCAGAGGCAAATTATTATGCATCTAAAAAAGATACGAATTTCTAAGATCCTTTCCCAATTTAAAACTACATGATCTTACAACTGCCAACTCTACGTACTTATAATTTATCCCCAAAGCTTAATGCCCAGAAAATTTTAAATTAAGACTATTTCTGGGTTTAAAGAAACTCCCTAAGGAATCTCAGACTACCTTTTCTCACATAAATAACAGAGAACTCCAAAACAAATGCCTATCATGCAAACAAATTACATTAAGAAGATTTCTACATTATGATGAACCTTGTGTGATTTACAGGCACGTTTCCTATGTCTCATGTTTTTATGAATTACCTAATAGAAATAAAATACAAACATTCCAGAAAGTTGGTGATTATCCAATTCTGTGATTATCTCACTCCCAAAGCAAACACATGGCAATAACTTGGGAGCTTAGACCACGAAAACAACTATGTTTGACACATTTCTTTTGTCTTGTGAAAAGTGAAGCTGAATTTCATTTTAAAGGATTCCCTTACATTTTCAGTCTTTAAGCATTTTCCCCTAAGTAAACTTTAGTACCCACCAGCTGACCGAGCTAAAACCTCTCTGTATCTTACTTCCATTACTAACTTTGACCATCAAATATATATTTCCCTGTCTTATTTCTGTTATCTCATAAATGAGATATTTTTATTAGATAATTCTTTAAAAACTTTCTCCCTCCCCCAAATGCATTTTAAAGTACATACCTCCAAGTGATACCAAAGGTTGGTCTAGGAGAAGGATATGGCCATATATCCAAGGCAGGTTTTGCATTGTAATTAAAATAAGGGACTTCTCGGATTCCTCCTTTTCTGGCCAATTTTTTTAGGTCATCATTGGGCAAAACAAATATGCTCTTCTTGCTGCTCTTGGTGATGAACTTTCTGTACGACGGCAGAGCTGTACCTGAACGAGCCTTCTTGGGTCTTGAAAACTTCATGAGTTTCACTTTGTCTCTTGTGGAATATTCTTTGCTCACGGTCATAGATGTTACCAGAGTGCCTCCTGCGGTGGTCAGTGAGTCTGTCACTGTCGTGGTGACCACAGTTTTGCTCTGCTCCTTCACAGAGATTATGTCCACACTGCTGCCTGTGGAGGGCGTGGAAAGCTTTGTTACTGTTGTAGTGGTGGTTGTGACAGTGGACTTGGCACAGTTTTCTGTGGAAGAGACCACAGTCTGCTTATCAACTTTTGCTACCTTAATTACGGTTTTTGATTCTGTGGCTACTGTGGACGTCATGGTGGTGACTTCTGTGATGATTGTTTTTCTTTTAGACTCTCCATTGACATTTTCATCTTTGTTGGTGGGCGGGCCATTTTCATCAATAAAATCATTACTGAAGTTAGAGTCCTCTCCAGAAGTAACAGGAGACGAAGTAACTTTCTTAACTTCGCAGGTTTCAATTTCCATATCTTCTTCCTGATTGGCTGAACTGCTTTCTGGACAAGATGGCAGAGGCGTGGTAGCTTGGGTACCCTCAGACTCTTTGGTTGACGGCAGGGTCTCTAGGCGATCTTGGTAGTCACCTTCAGTATCCGAAGACCTCAGTAAACATGATTTTGTTTCCAAGTTGTTTTTTTCATTAAAATCTTCCATGATAACATCACCATTCATGAATGGCTTTACAGCAGATTCTTTAACAGTTAAAGACTTAATATCGTTTTCAGGAATTATTTTATTTATATTATTAACCTTTGGTTCAATGTCACAACTTCCTACTTTACTCTCAGAAATGTCTTTCAAGCATTCACCTTTCAAATATATATTAGGTTTATTATCTTTTCCATTTATTTGAAAGGTACTTGCTTTCTGTCCTTTCTTTTCAGACTCTCGGTTTTCATTATTCTTTTTGTCAGTGACACTTTTCAGATTGATTTGATCGATACATTTATTAAGTGGTCTCTCCTCTAATTTCTGATCTTGACTTGTTTTTTTACCATTTGCTTCATTTACCTTAGCCTGCAGCCTGTCGCCACAGTTTCCAGTGGTCTTATCTGAAACAAACTCATGTTTCAATGGTTCTAAGCCTTCACTACCTTGTTCTTGAGTTATTAACTGTTCAGAAATACTTTCATTGCTATTCTGAACAATCATATCTTCTTCACTGCTGTCTTGAATAGACATAGTATCAGAACTATTTTCCAAAGTGCTATTATATTCAGAATCACATCCCAATTTTCCTTCAAAGTCTATTGCTTTTGACAGAGATGGGATATCTCTCTCATCAGTACTTTTAGGTACTGATGGAAGTAAAGGGCTCTGGGAAGGAGACACAATGGTGTCATTATCTTCCTGCATGAGTGGTTTTTTATTCTTATAGATCAAAGTACCAATTTCATCTGCACTGGCTAGTTTAGCGTCATCAATGAGAAAATCACTTCCTTTTGTTTTAATCTTACTGGGTTCCTGGCCTTTACTGGCAGGGTCAGAGAGACTCGCATTTATGTCATTTCGAACAGAATTTTGTTTCTGACGGTTTGTCTCTGAGCTCTGAATGGAGGCATCATCTAGCATTTGATCTTTTGAATAAAGTTTGTTTGTTGTATGATCAGGATCACTGATTCCAAGAACCGAGGAATCATTTTGTGAACATCCCCGAATCAAGTCTTCAGATTTATCGTTACTTGCATTAGGGCTCTGTTCTTGTGTAAGCAAGTCACTTTGACACCCTTCTTTTACTTTTGTTATTACTGGTGATTCAGACAGACTTTTCGAAGAACTTGTGCAGGTCTTTCCTATACCCTTAATTCCACCCTCCAACTTCATTTTCTCGTGGCGTTGTTTTTCTTCCAGTGTAAACTGTTTAATTCTCCTTTCAAGAAGTCCATCTAGTTTGGATGATTTGATTTTCTTTTTATAACTAGTCCTTAGATGAAAACCCTCACTGACATTGACCACATCTACTTGAGAACTTTCCTGACAATTTATATGTGACTCTGTTTTCACATCATCATCTATTTCCATCGGTTCTTCCTTAAAGGATTTATCATTGTCAGAGTCTAAAACTTCTTTTACATCTGTGAAACAAAGACATTTATATAAATGTAATTTTTAGTCTGAAATGTGGAATTCATGATAATATTTTCACTTCAAAAAGTACCATTTTTCTGATTTTTACTCAAAACCTTAACTATAAATAGCTATATATTTAAAAGTTCCAGATATGATTAAAATAGGTCAATGGAGAGGGCTAAACTTTATAAAAGGTTAAAAAACACATACATTCCAAATATTTAAATATTCTGATTCCTAGTATCTAAAAATGATGGAATGCCACAAGGAAAAATAACTTAGTATGTGATAGCTATTGCATATAGCAGTACCTTCACATAAGATTTTGTGAAGAGTATTTTATGGTTATAAAACATATTAAGCCTCATGCATTATCTAACTTATCTAGTTTTTAAAAAAACAACTTTTCACAAAAGTCAATGTAAGTTCCTCAAAAGGCTGAACATAGAGTTATCTCTTGATCCAGCAATTCCACCCCTATGTATTTACCCAAGAGAAATGAAAACATATGTCCATATAAAAACTTGTATATGAATGTTCATATTTCCATTATTCTTAAGAGCCAAAAAGAAACCACCCAAATGTCCACCATGAATGGATAAACACAACATGACGTATCCATACAACAGAATATCATTTGTAAATAAAAAGGAATGAAGTACTGATACATGCTACAACATGGATGAACTTTGAAAACACGCTAAGCGAAAGAAGCCAGACACAAAGGACCACATACTACCTGATTCCATTTATATGGAATGTCCAAAACAGGCAAATCCATAGAGACAGAAAGTAGACGGGGATTTAGGGAGGACTGACTGCTAGTGGGTATGAGGTTTCTTTTTGGGGTGATGAAAAATGTTCTAAAATGGAGTATGGTGATAGATAAACAACTCTGTGAATATAGTAAAAACTACTGAATTGTACACTGTAAGTGGGTGAGTTATATGGCATATGAATCATGTTTCAATAATGCTATTATCAAAAAGAGACAGTGCAGTACCTTTGCTGCTGTGCGAACTAGATCCAGTGCTTTCTTATCACCCCCAGGCTGCCCTCCACACTTTTCTCTCCTTACCTTGGTCCTTCTTCTCAGTAACCTTTGAAATGTCCATGTCACTTTGGTCTGCTCCTTTTGTAGTATCTGAATCTTTTACCTCGCCTTTCTCAGAATCAGACTCTGTTTTTATTTTTTTTGGACTTCGTGGATTTTTTCTTCTATCTGATTCATCCATATTTTCATCCATATTACTTTTAGCTAAAAAAAACCCCAAGTATATAGTTATAATTACAAGTATGTCAAATATTAGCAATTTACTTTAATACACCTAGTTTAGTGGAAATTATCAAGTATATTCCAGCAATTTATACTTTTTTTTTATCCAAAACACCCAAAATACAGAAGTTGAAGCTATTACATTCTTTCTTATATGCTCAGCTGACCTAAAGCATAGAAGTAATGACTACAGCTTAGATGTACTTCAGAAGCCTTCAAATATGAGACTATTTCAACCTGTTCACTGACTTCAGGAAGTCTGTATCAGTGGTTTCTAACATACTTTGTATTACAGAACCATATTAGAATTGGGTAAATGCTATGATCCCCTACCCAGAAAAAAAGTACATACACAAACTTTTGTAATAAATTTCAATGGATTCTTGAATACATTTGAAGTTTATCTACAGAATCCAAGTTAAGAATAGTTAAGTCTGTATCACAGAAAAGAGAAATAACCAAATGCAATGTGTAGCCTTGTTTGGACCTGATTTACTACTGGTTTCTTCCCTGCTACCAAATGGGTGGAAAAGACTCAAAAGATGCTCCAAGACCAACTTGGTACCTGCTAGATAAAGGCCAAGCATTTGGACAATAGAAAACCCCATGCTAAGGAAAGTGGATACAAAATAAATTTGCAAAAGCCTAAATATTTTGCATATTGATAACCTGGATTTTATTACATAGGTCAAACACAATTAAAGAAAAGCTCTCTATAATTCTTTCTAAGTGCTACACAGGTAACTGGAACAATGAAATAGTAATAAGAATTATAACAATCTTTTAGAATTTATTATAATGGACATTTAGCTTGAATATAATCAGATAATGTAAATGAATATTGCATATTTCTATGTAGCAAATAGAAACAGTTATTGAACATCTGCTATATGCAAGACACTCCTAGTCCCTATAAAATAAATTCCAGTGAGCTCTATAAAATACATGTTTTTTTCTGTTAAAAGGTAATTCAGTGACAACTTTCCCACATTAACAGTTTCAAAAATCTACTGGTTCAGATTTCATGAGAACCATTCACAAGGAAGCCAAATCAGTTAGCTAGGTGTGTACATAGCACTTATTTGGCACTACAGCATGGGCTTCACAGGAAAGACCATATCACACCACAAATTAGCAAATACGCTGCAGAGTGAACAGAACTGCTTTTGAAAATTGCTTAGATAACAAAGGAGAGACAACATGGTAGAGTGCAAAAAGGGCAACGGAAGCACTATCTGTGTGACCTTCAGTATGGCACTTAACATCTTCATGAAATAATTTGTTTATGTAACATGAGTTTCAAAATATTTACCTCCTAAAAGGGCAGTTCACCTCTAGAGTTCTGTGATTCTAAACACTAAAGTTGGGACTTCCCAGGTGGCAGAGTGGTTAAGAATCCGCCTGCCAATGCAGGGGACACAGGTTCGAGCCCTGGTCCGGGAAGATCCCACAGGCTGCAGAACAACTACGCCCGTGCACCACAACTACTGAGGTTGTGCTCTAGAGCCCACAAGCCACAACTACTGAGCCTGCGAGCCGCAACTACTGAAGCCCGCACGCCTACAGCCCGTGCTCCACAACAAGAGAAGCCACCACAATGAGAAGCCCACACACCGCAACAAAGAGTAGCCCCCACTCGCCACAACTAGAGAAAGCTCAGGTGCAGCAACGAAGACCAAACGCAGCCAAAAAATAAATTAATAAAGTCATTAGCCAGTTGCATAAACTGAGTTACTATCTCCTTTATGTGATAGTGTTATGGAAGCCTCTATCGCTTTCTTTCTGGTTTTGTTAAACGTTACAGTGCTGAGGTCACCAGACTGTGTTTCCTCAAGAAGTCAGGCGGTACTGAATTTAAGATTTTAGAAAAACAGTTAGGTAGCTGAGGCCTTCTTTCTTTTAACAAGTTCTATTCTATCATCTTTGTAAGCTAAAATCCTAGATATCAAAATCCCATGAATAAAGGTAATTTTAAAAACTTTAGTTTATAATTATTAAACTACATTAGTAATTTTGCATTCTAGTAAGAAGTGCAGAAAAACACTTTCATCCAAAATATAGTCAATGTAATACAAATTTATAAGAATACAAATCAGAAACAATTATGCAGGAAAAACAGCTTAAATTACTTACTTTCTTCTAATGACTTTCTGTAATTCACATTAGTATTGCCTGGCAATTTAGGAACAAACCTATAAACATGAGTTTTACTAATCCAGCTCCAACCACCATATCCTGTTACTCTGTATTCCTCTCCTTTTTGTTTCCAAACCTGGTGTAAGTGAAAACATGCTGATTAAACAAGAATGAGAATGTTTTATAAAGCACGTGTGGTTTTGCACATTTTTACTAAATAAAATCAATGGTCAGGCAAATTAATCTACCAGTCCATTTTATTTTCACTGAGAATCAAAGATTTATGAAGAAACTTAATATTCCTTTCTAATATGAAAAATATAAAACAATTTTACATTTATAACAATTTCTACAAATTGGTCTAATGACTCACCTATATTCTACTAACATAAACCTATGCTTATAAAATTGCCAGAAAGAATTACTTCATTCCGACTACGTTAATTAAAAGTGTGTCAAAAGTAAACAAAAATTACTAAGTATTCAAAACTGCAGAATCAAAGTCTCAGAAACGGCTAACACAATTTAAAAGATCATACCAAAATTACCTGATGTTTAACTGGAAACGTATATTTTACCCATGTAGCTTGTTGCATTGTTTCTTCCTCTTCTTGTTTTTTCTCTTTTTTTTTGACTTTCTCCTTTTCTTCTCTTTCAATTGATGTCATTCTATGTAACCTAAGAATATATGGATAGAAAGACAGAATTACACTCAACTATAAAATATAAACAAAAAAAGATAAAAATATAGTACTGAAAATTAGGAAGACAAAAACAAAGAATGGTTAGCTATAATCCCACAGCCCAGAAAACCCAGACTCATAAAAATAAGCAGATGTACAATTCTCTAATAGGAAAAAAATCAAATAGTACAAAAAGGAAAAAAAAAAAAGAACATGCTATCCTTCTCATATGCCTCTCCATAAGAAATATACTCACTTATGACTTATTTATGCATACATCAATGCTGTAATATAATATCCTTTTTGTGTAATTATAAATACTGTTACACAGTCTTTAATCAATGAAAAACTGCACTAGATCTTTCCATACCAGAAGACACATATCTTCTTTCCTTCCCCCAAAAAGACCAACAAATCCCAAAACTCTTATTTTATCAACCAATATTCCAATTTCTACTACTACTTGGGATTTTTAAGTCTTCAGAGGGTCCACTAACATAGAACTCAGGTTTCCTACAACCACAGTGAAAGGGACCCACAGGGCTCCTGCTTCTGGATGACAGGAAGGGTTGGGCAGGAAGGACCACATGGACTGGGCACTAATCATTAGGCCTAGGGCACAGATCACACTCTTTTTCCAGGTAAGAAAATAGATATCACTGCACCTACCAGTAAGGAGATGGGCAGGTCTCTGGTGAGGTTCTACTTTAAGGTGATTAGATTTTCATGAATGGGAATATTTCCCATAATGAAGAACATTAACCAAAATCTACAAAGAAAGGAGCTCCGGTCTCTAAGAGTCCTAGTGGTAGAAGAATTGCTTTTATCATACCCTACCCAGACGTAGCCAATTTCAAATGCACAGCTATGTGAAAAGAATAAAGAGATGTTTTGTTAACTTGGGGGAGCAGAAGAAAGATGTGAGAGGGGATTTAATTCTTTTCACCTCTGTCCCTCCACCAAAAACTTCCTATTTATCTATCTCCACTTTGAATAAAGTTTTGTGTCCTTGTGATTACAGCACCCTAGAATCTAGTGTCCCCCAGGCCAAGAGCTCATGCCTGTTAACTGCACACAACTAGTATAGCAAAGATTCATCTCTCAGTACTGATGGGAGAGGAAAGGGAGTGGATTCTCACTGGGGACTAATTTAGTCTCAGATACCATAATTTGCAACCAGGGAGTGGGGAAAACGCTGGAGGCACAACATAGTGGATAACCTGCCAGCCTCAGCTCTCCAGAGTAAAGTAGTAGTGACTGAGCTACGACCAAGTAGTATTTCTCAACAGGGTTTTTGTGGGTTCAGCTTTAAACACCTACAAAAGGCCAGGTCTGGCACAGCAACTGAGCCATCTTCACAGATGGTGGCCAGGAATGGAACACTGTCTGGGGAGAACACCAGTACAGTGACACTCTGGGAACGCACGGCTAAGCTGGGCGCTCAGCTTGTGCTCTTGGTGTTCACGTGGCGAACAGGTCCATCTTCATCATCAAAGACAAAGGCTTCACTGCTGACGCCAGGCCAGTGAGGTAGTATTGTAGCTAAACTGTGAGGTCCGCTCTCCCAGAATAGATTCTACTGTTCTCACTACCTCCAACACAATCCTTATGGGAAAAGGCAGCAGGGAAGGTGAGCTCTGCAGGGGTTCAATTCCATTTAGTTGGGCAGAAATCTTGGCTACTGCTGGCAGCCTGACGCTGGTACTACGAGCCTCCAGACACCACTCCATACTGGCGGGTGCACTGGGGGCAGGGGCTCCCTCCACACATCCTCGGTTCAGAGAGCCGGGCCAGGAGTGTGGACTGAGCCTCAACTCTGTTCCCCACCTCCACGGGGTTTTGTTGTGTTTCTCTTCCTATTACAAACAAAGCTACAGGAAACCATGTTTTACGTGTTTCTTAGCAAACTTGAGGAATATCCCTTTATGTTTCCCACTGGTAGAATGGCTGAGTCCAAAGAGTATTATATTTAAAGTGCTGACAGATGGTGCCCAATTGCTCTTCAGATCTGTACGCTTCACACTGCCATCAATTATAAAGCAACCCTGCTTTCCCGCACCTTCACTCAAGTTGGTCCCAAACTTCTAAATTACCAGCCCAACTGAGAGAGAAGAAATACTATCCCACTGCTTTTATTTACATTTCTTTAATTATGAGAGAAGTAACCACTTTTTTATGTCTACTGGCCTTTTATATTTATTTTTCTGCCAAGTGCCTGTTCAAATCCTGTGTCTTATCTGTAATGGGCTTTTCATTTATAAAAGGTCTTTTTCATTTATAAAAGGAAAGTTTCCATTTGTGGTGCACATATTTTTCCTCAGTGTGTCATCTGTCTTTTGGATTTGATTATAATATTTTTCCACTCAGAATTTTAAATACATATATCCACTTTTTTCATCTATGGCATCTGGGTTTTATATCTGTTTGAAAAGAAAGTATCACAACAGAAACATAAATTAATCCGCGCGCTCTTAAGCTTTTTGTCATAGTTTTTAACAATATATTGGGTATTTTTCAATCATTTGTCTCAATGTTTTTGCTGAGGCAGGAATCTGGGTGATATTTTCCCCAAACACGCCCTCCTTTCCTTCTCTGACAGGCAAAGCTCTCACAGTGGATTCCCACATGTGTTTAGGTCTATTTCTGGATTCTCTGTTTGATTCCACTGCTCTCCTTCTTCTGTAGTACAAATTATTCTGATTATCATAGCTTCCAGATACATTCTAAATATCTATTCCCTTTTTTCGTAATACCTACTTCCCTTTTCTTACACATTTTCTAGAGGAAATATTAGTATCATTTTGGTCATGCCTCCCTCTCCCTCCAGGAAGAAAACTCCTATTCACAATGCAAATGACCAGGGATTGAACCCACGGTGGAAGTGCAAAGTCCTAACTACTGGACTGCCAAGGAAGTCCCAAAGTACCCTTTATATCCTTAGTAAAGTTTTAACGATTTCTTTACATGCTCCTAAATATTTATTAAATATATTCCTGGTTTGAGGTGTTTTGTCGTTGCTGGATGTTTTCTTCATTGTAACTTTTAAAAATATGTAAACTGTAACCAAGTTAAGAAACAGAACCTTATCAATAACCACTACATCCAAAACTAGTGTGTCCCACCCCCAGGCAGCCACTATCCTGACTTTTGTGTTATCATTCCCTTGCTTTTCTTTATAGTTTTACCACCACCTATGTGTGTATCCCAAACAATATAAAGTTTGGCTTTTGAAAACTCAACAAGAAGAAAACTAGTTGCATGAGCAAGAACAATATTGTCACTATTAAAAGAAGGTTCCCAGGAAAAAATGAATTTGTCTCCAGGTCACCTTTCACAAGTTAAGAGCCTCTTGTGGTGCAATCAGAGGGCGCAGTCATAAGCAAAGCCTAGAAGACAGTGCGCTCACCACACTCAGGGTACCTGGCATGTGTAAACAGGTGCACTGCAGAGACAGAATCATGCATTGCTCTGCTCTTCCTGCTTTTGTGCCTTTTCAGGATTCTATGGCGTGCCTGGTGAAAATTCTCAGTTCTCCCCCACTGACTTGGGATTTGGCTTTCCTGGGTAGGGTACCACTCATCCTCTGGCAAGACTGCTTGCAGTTTTACTGGTGCTGTCTTCTCCGTTGTTCCCCTTGTCCCTGTGGGTTTATGCTTTGAAAAAATCCCTTTGCCATAGTTTTGGTGGAGTTCAGTGGGGAGCAAAATTAGATGTGCTCATTCAGTTTGTTATTTTAACTCAGAACTCCCGCTTTTCTTCATGGTTACTATCTGCATAGATAAAACCGACTGTTCAGTATGGGGGTCACCTTAATTAATTTTCATATTGTTTTATAGTTTTTCAGTCAATTAAGTATATAATGAGATCAACTATACATAACTGTCCCTACATTTACCTATTTACGTTTTATTTCTCTCAGTAAATTGCATTAATACTTTTAAGAAAAGTTAAAAGATAACAGCAACAGTGGGGATCTCTGTTTTGTTCCACCTAAATGTTAATGGGAATACTTCAAGGGTTTCATCAAAAAACAAGACGGTTTGGTTTGAAACACATCTTTACGAAAAAGGGGAGGGGGCATTCATCTATTTCTACTTACCCAAGTTTTTTTTATAAACCAAGAATTAATAATGAACTTATATCTTCTTAATAAACAAATACCTTCTTGACATCTAATGAGAAAATCAAAGTTTTCTTTCTTTGACTTCTTAAAATAGCAACGTATTAATAATCTCCTAAGAACAGACAAATCTTCCATACCTAGAGGAAGTCAAATTAGTCATGATTTATTATTCTTTTAATTTACTCTTGACTATATTTGCTAATGCTCTAAGATTTCTTGCATACACTTCTATTTGCTATTAATTATTAATCAATGGTAAATATTAATAAATGAGACAGGGCCATGATTTTCTATTTATCTATTTAACAAGTTTTAGAACAGTTTATTTACTAACAGAAATAATACTGAACCGGATTTCCTTCTTTTTCTATTTTATGGAACAGTTTAAATAGAATTACCTGTTTCCTAAAATTTGAAGAACTTCCTCATGAAATCATCTGGTCCTGCCCATCTCCTTACTGATGGGTGCAGTGATATCCTTCAAACTGAACCAGAAATCCTTTTCTTGCCCAAGAGTGTGGCCTCTGCTCTACTGTCCAATGATTCAGATCAGTGGAACTCTTCCTCCCCAACCCTTCCCCCACCCAAAAGGAGGAGTCCAGTGGGGCACTTTCTCTACGGATGTAGGAAGCCTGAATGCTATGTTAGTGGACTCTGTGAAGGTTTGAAATCCAAAGTATCAGTGAGACAGGTTCAGAAATATTGTTTGTTACGACCCCTTTTTCATTCTTGATATTGGTTATTTGTTCTTTATCCCCCACCCCGCCCCCCGTTCCTGATAATCTCATCAGAGGTTTGTAAATATAATAGTATCTAAGTTACACATCTGTTTTCTATTTAATCAAATATTGAAATATTTCCCATCTTTGGTT